ACACACACACACACACACACACACACACACACACTCACACACACACACACACACACACACACACATAATGTCTCACTTTTAGTCTCCTACTCCTCTTGTTCTCACAGCTGCTGACTCTGTCCCCTCGTGTCCACCTCTGGCTCAGCAGCTGGCCTCTGAACTCATTCTCTGTTGGACAGAAAGGATACGACAACAATTTCAGTCTGACATGTCCAAATATTAAAAGGTGCATCCTTAATATTACACAATGAAATGAGAAAAAAATTTAACTTATTGAAAGTGGCATTAAAGTGGTCTTGACAGTGTATTCCCATTTTTGATGTTTAGCAAATTAGTTAAACTATTTATTATATATAAATTTTATTTTTATGAGTAATATTAGTTTGAAATACGCAATAAAACTTAAATAACCAGAAAACACATATATTCTTTGCAAGCAATTGAGCCTCTAAGATCAAAAAGTAAGCAAATCTATGCCAGTGATGCTGATTCATACGCAATTATTGTAATGTCATTTTCCACACGATGACTATTAAATATGAACACCCCTAATTCAGAAGCAAACATTAAATAGCCCCCAGAGGACCCAAGCACACTGGTCACTGAATGGGCTTTCAACAGTCCATCATGGTCTGATAGAGTCTGCGTGCCTTCATGGCTCTGGTGTTGATTATTCTTCCTGGGTGACGAGAGATCCGGCCGTGACCCAGCTGTTTTTATCAGAGCATCATTACATGTGGTCTGATTACGTTTTAAGCAGCACCTGGTGCTCAGTCACGTCACACGCGTAACAGGGGAGGGAATTCCCTTGAGAACCGCAACAATTGCAGCACTTGCCACATAAAACGCAATACGCAATGCAAACCTTTCTTAGAACTCAATGTCCCGTGTCTGTTCGTGTGGAAACCAGTTAAACTGACTTTACTGCATTTGCTGAAGCCTTGTATAAAAGTAAGATGAATACAAAAGAGAGGAACACAAAATACCTCTGAAAATTAATTTATCATTATTTTCCAACACATTAGGAGTCAAGTAATATAATTTGATAGTGTTCTTCAAAATAGTGCTTTCAAAGGCACTTCCAAAGACAACAACATGTCAATGATAAGGAACATTTACATGCTGAAATGTTATTTCTAGATAAAAAAGGTGAGTTGATGCCAGTGTCTTTATACCAAATCACTTGACCTGAGGGATTTCAGGCATCCCTTTTTTATTTTTTCCCAATAATTAGGCCCACTCTCTTAAATAGCTGTTTGTTCCAGCATACAAAAAAACATTGTTTGACTCCCATATAGTAGGCCCATGCATGAAATGGACCAAAGGGAGTGCATGTTAGCCACAAATTGCTCTTACGTTTTAGTATAGATTAATATTAGTATTTCTTTTGTCGCATCTGGCCCTTGACTTCGAAAAAGCACCATGATGCTGCTGCGCATAACCTCTTCTAGCACACCACGCCTTTCAATTACTATCAGCCAAACCCTCCGCCTTTAAAACAGTCACTTTCCTCGAGGAGAAACAATGATCCAGCAGAACATGTTTACAAGACCCGTGACTGTATTATTAAAGCAATAACGTTTAAAGCCCACCCTACAGAGGTCCTAAAACAAGCATAAGCGATGAATAAAGAGCAATTTAAATGTAAAACTGAAAGAAAGGCAATAATCTAATAAATGAATAGTGTATTATGTAGGCCTAGCCCGAAGTAAACATATGGTTCGTTCGCATTGTTTTGCTTCTCGTAAATAACGCACGCACACAAGACGAAACATATGCTGCTTTTGCGTTGCTTAAGGGTTTCTAATGACTATTTGTCCACTCCCATAAAATACATTGTAGCTTATTTGTACATGTATCTCTGACTGACTTAGTGTGAATGAACAAACTTCGATGAATATTCCGCTTGGCTTTAAACTTCCATGTTTCGGATTCGACTATAAATAGCTATAGTTTTAAAACAAGCACAACACTGAAACTGTAATATGAGAGCCAGGATATTGTGTTATACACGCGAGAGAGGCCCTTTAAGTTCTTGGGTTTCTTGAAAATAAACCTGCGATGTAACTGAAATACAGATATTAAAAAAACATTGTAGAATCGTTTTTAGTACGCAAGCCAAAATAAGACAAAATGTGCTGAAAATGTAACTTAAACACGGTGGAATGGCACTTCTTCTTTAAGAGATTACAAGTCCGGCGTCCATTTGGCTTCAATGGTAACGGAAATCCAAACCAGCAAACCTTTCCAAACACTGAATTTCTCATCCACATCAGCATCCGAATTAGTAAACAAAAAAATACCGTAAGCAAACGACGTTTTTTCAAGGAGATGCGAGCGGCCTCTTGCTCTTTGTAGGCTGTGTGTGTTAACTTCAGTGTTGTACACCTCCCCTTCAGGATGAGTCTCGTGCCGCTACCGTTAAAAACCTCTTAATAATTCGCTCGGGACCGGTTCGAAACCTCTTCATGTCGTAAGCAAGACGCGTATATCCATTAATCGACAGGTAATGTGAGCATAAATGCTGCCAAAATCATTTCTCCGCACGCTTTGTCGAACGATACTGACTTACCTTTCGCTCACAGGCCCATTGTCCACCCCTCCTCTACCCTGCGCCGTGACATCATCATCATGGTAAATCATGTACAACTCAAGATGGAGAGAGGGCCGCTGCTGACCCCCACCCACCCGATATATAACACTCACACGCAAGAGGAAAGTCGTTTGACATTGTACTAACAATCTAAAATAAATTCTTCGGTTATTTTGGGGGAAAAAAATCTCTACGTTTAGATGCAGGAGCTCAGCTGAAAGTTCAGCACCCAGAACAGCGCTGTTTCAGTACCATGGACAGGAGCGCTATCCGTGGCAGGTGTCTAGCAAGAAAACGCTGTTTTCAATGAGTATACAGCAGTTTAACAATGAATACACTGAATGTTACATTAAGAAAAGCAAACAAATAAATAAATAAACTAAGCAAAAAATATCAAGTAATCTGAACATCAAATAGAAGCATTTGTTTTATGTTCAAAAGACTATTGACCGATTGCCGTACACGATACTTACTATTCAGTATCAACAAGAAAGGGAATAATTTCTGTAACTGAAAAAACACAATTCTTTAATATGGATCTATTTTGGACACATTTGCCTTGCTTCAAAAGCGTTGAACTACTTTTCTTTCATGTTCTTCTAGAAGCCTAACAACGTGACCTACACTGTAAAAAAAAATCTGTAGTTTTTACAAAATAATTTTGGCAGCTGTGGTTGCCAGAATAATTTTGTAAAAATACAGAAAAACTGTAAACACATGTGGAAAATGATTGAATTAAAATAATTTAAGTAAACGGTTAAATTATTATTATTTCTTCCGAGTTTGCCAGACTGTAAAATGTCGAATAAAAGTGAAGCTTTAAGTTTAACTGCTGGCTTAATTGTTTTATGATGTCAAAGTGATTTTAATTGTTTAAAAAAAAAATCACTTTTCTACCTGAAAAATAAACATCAAAAAAAAAAAAAGTTCATTTCACTTTTTGGGACACTTTGAATTTCTTAATTCTCTTAAAAATAAAATAAAATAAATATACAAATATATATTATTAACATTATTATTGAAATCATTTTACAGTGCTGTAAACCAACCAAACACAGCGCAGTTGCAAAGTTTGATTAATGGTAAAATATTATAATCAACCGATAAATACTAATATATTATAATTAGTATAAGGTTACATGCAGTGGAAAGAAAGGTAACTGAAAATGCATTTGCTCTATAATGAAGGGGGAGGGGAACTCTTTACTAAACTTCATAAAAAGTTTCTTATCATGTATGAAGCATGCAAAAGCCTTTGAGAGCTTTGCATATTTAATGACACCGAGGTTTTTCGGTTACCAGCTGTAACTTTGCTCACCCCTGATCCTAAAGTTTCGTATACAGATGGATATCCCAGCATACAATTAAAGCCACAGTCTGTTCCCACTGGCCAGACATTGTGTATAAATATTACATAGGATGCCAGCTGAGCGAATGAGAAGCACAACACCCGGAATCCCCCCACAGGCAGATGGACTGATCCCTCCCAAATACAAAAGTTTTTAATATGCCAGAAGTCCGACAGCCTCTGAGTTAAAAGCACAGCTCCCTCTGGGAGACAAAAGTTGCCTTTGTTTAAAAACTGTCTGTACAGGGATTTCGTTTCGCAACTTTTAAAAGATACAACAACAAAAAAATCAGTGATCTGGTCAATACTATGCGATTGTCGATAGTTTGAAAGAGTTCAAACGTAATCCAAGGCTATTCAGTCAACGTTTTATATTAATACTTAAAATGAAAGTAAACAAGGAAAGAAACAACAACTGTGCCTGTCGGTATAAGTTTATAATCAGTACAATCAGTATTCAGTATAATTAGTCGGTATAATTATATCACTCGTGTTTTAATTACAATAATAAACGTATTGTGAATAGTTACTGTTAACAAAAAGTTAACCAAACCCAAATACACCGGCTATCAACAAAACCACGGCGCACCAGACTATATCTAAGTTTGACGCGAGGAAAAGACTTTATAAAAATAAGAAATCCAGCACTCACCGAGAAAAGTTTTACACAGCTTCATCCTTGCGGTGATTTCTTCACCTTTGACACCGCAAAACTACTTAACTTCATTACAGAGAAAGTTACTTTAAAGAAAACTTACAGACAGAGTTGGGCGGTCTTATTTCGTAGAAGTTTGCTTCCACCAATCAGCGGCGGCGGGGTAGTTTTTGTTCATCTCGACAAGCCAATGAGGGCGCGCCTCACTATGGGCTTACATTTCTGCCACAATTCTGCGCGCGAAAGATCATATTTTGAGCGCACAAAAATTTATTTTGCACACGCGCGATCTGAGTTTGTGTAGAAAATGTTCGTTTCGCAAAGAAAAAAGTCTTTCGAGCGCACGGAAATCAATTTTGCATTTAAAATACGTTTTTGGATGTGTGCAGACCTTCTCTCACTGCCTGTGTCCCCCTCACAATGACCTCTGAAAATGAGAACAAAGGCTTGTCTTGTACGCCTCAAATCATGTGTCAGGCGTTTGAAAACTTTTTACTAAGTGTTTTTTTTTTTGCATTTCCTCAAAAAATACATATTTTAAACACATTTAAACAAGGTAAGAGAGTGCAACCTGAAACTATTGTTCCTCCTTTAGAGACCAGTTTTCTATAGAGACAAAAGAGACAAAGTATTAAAAGACAAATTTGGACTCATTGTTTGCCACTACATTTGTGCTGTGTGTCTCAGACTGGTCAGCCGTTATATTTATAGAATTTAAACATGCAGATGCAAAGTTTATGTGGATGTTCACATTAAACCATAAATCATTAACACGATCCTAAATTATAAAGCACACAGGAAATTTTATATTACATTATTTATATTATTTTATATTTCACTCCTGTGGTTTCTGTTCATTTTAACTGATGTTCACCCCATATGAACCATAACTAAATTTCAATAATAACAACGACAACAGCAATATTTATTTATTTATTTAGTGCAGGGCCTTTGAGAACCTCAAGGTCACTTTACAAAGGAAACAAAAAAATGTTTTGTAAATGTATTCTTTAAAAAACACTTTTAGTCTCTATAAACTCTACAAATCAGTTAATCAATCAGTCAGTGAAACCTCATGCTCTCAGATCAGGCCTTCTCAATCTTTTTCAAACTCAATCTGTGCCTCTTTTCTCCCCCACCCTTTTCCCGGTCAGGCCAGTGAGAAGGCATATGTGCTGGGTTGCTGCTGGAGCCCACGTAGCCCTCTTTACGTGATCTGAAGTCTTACCCCCATGACAGATGGGCCTACTGATAATGATGCTGAGAATCCCCATCGCCCCCCCCCGTATGGAGGGGGCCAGGGGGTGCTTATTAAGACATTTACACTTAGTGGACACCAGGCCTGTAGAAAGTGTGAAAAGCTTTTAGAGGTTTATTTGAAAGGACTCGTATGAACATATGAGCGTGTGGAGCCAGTGCTGTCATCAGTGACTTTTATGTTTAACTGTAGATTGTTTCATATTAGTGAATATTGATGATAAAGGATTTTATGGTGTCTCTTTTGTTTCTGTTGCTTTGATAGAGTATTGCAAAAGTATCTACATTCTTCCTTCTCACACATAATGGTTGATGATGACTGTTTATTATTATATGACATGTTGTAGAGTTGAATGAAAACTGAGGGTAAACTTCTGTAGTTGTATGTGGAATATGTCTACGGGGAGGCAAGTCTAAACCCACTCACTCTCCTTCTTCATACACATGCACACGACCTCATTACAATAACAATGGCTAACCACACTTTAGGGTGGAGCTTAGAGTGTGATTTCCAGGCCACTGAGCCAGGCTTCCTAAATGAGCTGTGTGTGTGTGTGTGTGTGTGTGGTGAAGGGCTTTTTGGTACAGCTGTCACCCTGGAGGGTAATATCAGGCGAGCCCAGCTAGTCTCCTTTTTTCAAGAATCTTGTGAGAAAAAAATGGGGGAAGGGACTGAGAGGAGAAAAAGCTAAAGTTTAGATGAGATAACAGTAACCAAATTATGACTGAGCAATGAGTGATATTAGACACTGCACAACATAAATCAACAGAACAAATGGCAAATTAAGCATTTAACTATCTTTATTTTTGTGGGTGTATATTTGAAAAACTTTTGCAACTTTCCTTGTAGTGTAAATGAAATACCCTATCCATCTATTTTATATCTACCTGTACAAATAATTCTTTAAAGATTTTTTTTTTTCGTTTTTAAGGAAAGTTTAAAATTAAAAGTATATTCTTTTATTTTATGTTACATAATATAAATAAAAAAACAAACAAACAATATATATATAGAGCAAAAAGTCATTTTAAAACACATTTGCATGGCCAGACAAAATTTTAAACATATACTGTCTGAACTTGCTAAATGTAAGCTTTTATTGTAAGTCTGTTTTGTCTGGCTGTGCAATATTGTTATATTGTGAAAAGACAAAGGCCTTTGATTGCTTGTGAACTAAAACCTCAAAAGTTCAATAAGAACTTTCAGGTTCCAGTAAACTTTGCTGACTACTAACACGTCAAAAATAACGGCCTGCGTTTTGTGTTCAGTTCTTTGACACAAGAGATATGCAGCTAATCTCTGGGAAAATCAGCTTAGCAGCTGTCCTAAAGTATAGGTTTTCTTGTCTTAGTGAGAGAATAAGACAAAAGTAGCTGAAAGAACAGGAGACAAGCTCTTTTCACACCATCCCTCCTGCTCTCTCTCTTTCTTTCTCACTACTGAACCCTCATCCAGAGTCTCCACCTGTTCCCATGCCCCACTATTCCCCTCACTAATTATTCATATTCTGGACACAAAAGTCTAGATTGGTGATCTTGACCCATATATGGTGGCCACCTTTTTATCTGAGTACAGAAGTCCCCTAAAAGTTGCTCTGTTTAAATGTTGGCTAAGCCATTATGTAATTCTGTGTCATCAGGCCCTTACATTTAATGATCCAAGTGGTGCTAATGGTATTTTGAGAGGGTCTGCTCAATTAGTGATCCCATGCAAATGGCTCTCACCCTTTCTCACAAAAATATCCATGTAATTAAGATGCCACCTGAGCCCAGTGATCGGAACACAGTAGCCATGGTCCCATGAAGTATGCTTGGAAATTATGGGCCAGTCAGCAACTCTTGCCTTGTTGCCAGGACTGCAGCCCTCCCTCCCTTTCAGGCCCAAAGTGAGGCTGACTAGACATCTGTATGCAAATAAACTAAATAGTATAGAAAGTACATACATCAGAAGGGTGGGGGGGGACTGCTTTCCCCAGCACTACAAAGACTAAATTGGTGGATATTGTGAGCATGCACAGCTGACTGGCTGGTTTGGAAATTCCTATTCAAATATCCATACTCAGTCGCCATCTGCAACTTTTCAGATAATAGTGATTCAAAGTAATCACTGGGTAGGCTAATTACAAAAGGTTGAGGCAATTATACATTTACATTTATCAATCTTATGTAAAATATTGGGGGTATTTACATGTATTCTATTATTACTTTTTCTTCCCTTTTTAAGTTTATTTCGATTATTTATACTTTATATTTTTAATTTATTTTACATTAAATTTATATTCATATTTTTAAATAAAAATCTATTAGAAAATCTAAATTTAGATTTTTTTTTTATATTTATACATTTTGATTTGTGTGATTTTATTTTTATATTTCCCGATTTATTTTAATCTAACTAGAAGTATGCTAAATGTGACTGCAACTTTTTTATAGTGCATCTTCAAGGCGTAAAAGACTTAAAACGAATTTAAAATAACTGTTTTCTATTTGAATATATTTTAAAATGTAATTTATTCCTGTGACGGAAAAGCTAAATTTTCAGCAGCCATTACTCCAGTCTTCAGTGTCACATGATCCTTCAGAAATAATTTTAATATGCTGATTTGGTGCTCAAGAAACAGTTGTGTAGTTGTGCAGTTGTGCTGCTTAATATTTTTTGTGAAAACTGTGATACAATTTTTTTTCAAGATTCTTTGATGAATAGAATTTTTATAGAATAGAATTTATTTGAAATAGAAATCTTTTGTAACATTATAAATGTCTTTACTGTCACATTCAATGTAAGAGTTAAAAAAAAAGTGACCACAAATTTTTGAACGGTAGTGTACATATTTGAACGGTAGTGCTAATTTTCATCCACAAATTCATTTATATGATGACATGACAAGTCTTTTTACAGAATTTGATCAGAAACACATATGTTCTGTCCCAAACTATTCACCAGGACCTCTGACAAGTTTCGTCAGCACACCAGGGAAGTAAATGCTTCCGGGTCGCGTTATGATTGGACGCAGTGAATCGGAGTCACTTTGGGACAGCCACACCGGTCAATGCTTGACCTCTGACCCACAGAGGTGTTTTATACACAAGGGTCATGACTCGTGACATTTGTTGATCTCTTTATTTCAGAGAGCAGGTGCTGTAGGATAGATGACCCTAGAGAATGCCAGGACAGGGTCACTGAGGGTCACTTCGTATTTACTAGTTGTGACATGGCACACGTGCCATTTTCCCAAGAGAGCGAGAAATCAAGTCAGCGCTGTTGACAGTTCTCCTCACGCTCACATTTTTGTGTGCTCTGTAAAGTGCTGCACTGTCAAAACAATCGGGTTGAGCTTGTATAAAGCTCATATTCCTGAGATAAAGCGCTTCCCTGTGTCCCTGCGCAGGACACACACACAGATACACACATTTAAACACCCTGAATTGAAGAGATAAGAGGCCCTGATGGCTGAAATCTGGCTCTGCTCACTCTGGGCAGAGGATGAGAGATGCAGATTTGCAGAGGAGACCACCCGAGGTAAACTCATTAAGAGTCCAATAAAAACCTTCTGTCGGGACGGCAGGACTCCCACAGATACTCCAGTGACAATACCATTAACAACAATCGCAGAGAAAAGAGAAACCCACAGACAAAAGAGCCCTCTAATTAGCAGAGCACTTCCAAATGACATATGCTCCTGGAATCGGGAGTGAGGGATAAGGGAAAAGTAGGAAAAGAAGAGAGTGAAGAGGAACTGCCTCAGGCGTGTAGACAGCAGGGCCTGTGAATGACTCCTCTGCCATAAAGGCAGCACAAAAGGACCTGAAAGCCT